CTCAGCGCCGCGCGCTCGGGCCTCGGCCTCCCGCTGCCGTCCGGGACCACAGCCGGGCCCCTCGTTTCGTCGCCGCCGCTGTCGCCAGACCCGACGAGCGGAGCCCCGAGCGACCGCCCTCATCCGGCCGCCCCGCCTCGCCGGAATCCTTCAGCCGCCCAGCGCCATGACACCTACTGAGGCGGAAGTACGGAGGACCGAGCAGGCTGGGCTCACTGCTTCATTCCGCCGGCCACGGGAGTGGGTTGGCATCTGTTGGGAGCCAGCGTGGACTAAGTGTGGAGACCAGGTCCCCCGCCCCCTCCGCACAGCAGGCTCGGCGGTGGTTTACCGGAGTCTGGTGGCTGCCAGCATCTCAGCCAGTGTGACATCACCCCAAACTAGTGTGACCCCTCTTACCACGAGATCCGCAGCGCGCGAGGAGACAGTGCCTACCCGAGAAGCCCCTGAGGATGAAGGATTACCTTGGTTGAGGCTTTAATCGTTCGTGGTCACGTAAAGACGCCGGCAGTGTGACATAGGTGTAAGCGATCTGGAAGCCTCCCTATACTTCGAGTGGCCCTAGGGAGTGCTCCCATTTCTGTATTTGTGTTAGAAGATAAAAATAAACAACTGCTCTCAACTCAGGTCCTCAGTGCATACAGTGCACGAAAAATTTTTTTGCCTCTACCAGAAGGTAGAAAGCCTGAATATTGAAGAAACCAGCTGGGAGCAACGTTCTAAGAAAAATGGATACTTTGTGAAAACTAGGTTATCCTGTTATACAGTTGCCATCTCTCTCTCTCTCAGGTTCTGGAGGACTTGGGATGTAATTCCTGCTGTGTAAAATATTCTGACTCCTAAAACAGGGAACATTTTTAGAGAGACTTATCTATTCATGTGTTCCATCCCACAAATGCAAAAATCAGCAACGATCTGAAACCCACCCGCCAAAAAAAAAAAAAAATGACGGCCCAGCACCAATATTTTCATGCATTCTTTGAGTAAGGGAACAAACTTAAGAAAAGCCTCTTCTATCCGTTTTATTCCTCAGACTTCACTCATGCATTCTTGATTTCTGTAGATCTCACAGAAATCAACAACGTTTTTTTACAGAATATCCTACAATACTCTTACAGTACATCACTTGGATTCTCCTGTCTTAACTTTGAGAGTAGTTCCGTTTCATTGAGAATAGGGAAGTTCATTTCCCAGGAGGACCAGGGTTAGCGAAAGCGTTCAATCCCACAGGGCAGTTTTGTTTGCTTATTTTCAGAGAAACTTCCTTCTCACTGTTTAGAGAACATAAAGTCCCCACATTGGACTGACCTTGGAAATATCAAGACACAAGGGTGAATGAGCATGCCTGTTTGGTGAGCCAAGAAAAAGGCAGAAACCTGAAGTCCAGGGTTGAACAGATCCTGCTCCAAAAGCAACTTTAATCAAACAAAAATTGCTTACCTTGCTTTGGTTCACCAGGACTCTATGACATATTTACTCTCTCAAGTTAGGTCCTTTTTCTCTTTTCAAACATATCTCAAATTTTACCTCTAGGGAGCCTTTCCGGACTGACTCCCACATTATCCTAATTGGGCACCGGCATCTGATCACTTATTTGTGTGACCCACTTACTTGGGTCTCTATTTTCTTTTTTTTTTTTTTAGGTTTTTGAGACAGGGTCTCCCTTTAGCCCCAGCTGTCCTAGAACTTGCTATGTAGACCAGACTGACCTCAAACTCACAGAGATTCACCTGCCTTTGCCTCCCTAGTGCTGGAATTAAAGGTGTGCACCACCATGCTTGGCTTGGGTCTCTGTTTTCATTGTTCTTAAGTCACTTCCTCATTCTTCAGGGACCTTTTTAAAATCTAGTATTCTCCTTTCTAATGTCATTCCTCATTGATCCAACAAACTGCTTTTTATTTTCTTTTTTTTTTTTTTTTTTTTTTTTTTTTTTTTTTTTATGAGCCTTCCTCATTTTTTTGGGACCTTTTTTAAATCTAGTATTCTCCCTTTTTAAGTTATTTCCCTTTGATCCCAAAAAATGCTTTTTTTTTTTTTTTTTTTTTTTTTTTTTTTTTTTTTTTGGACAGGGTTTTCCTATAGACCCAGCTAGTCTGGAACTTGCTATGTTGACCAGGCTAGCCTCGCTCTCACAGAGATCTGCCTGCCTCTGCCTCCCAAGCTTTGGTATTAAAGATGTGTACCACCATCACACCCAGCTCAACAAACTGCTTTTGTGCCTGCATTGTCAGACACTCCCAAGACACTAGTTCAGATGAAAGATTAATAAGATATGATCTTTTCCCTGAAGGAGCTTACAGTCTAATGAGGAAAAAATGTCCCAGACGCGTATGACTTGAATAAAGGAGTCAGAGAAGACCATCAGAAAAGGTAATATTGGAGCATGGTTTGCTCAAAGTTTCAAAGTTTAGTTTAGCTAGAAGTTACTTATCCATTCAAGACATATCTATAGAGAATCTGCTGTGTGCCAGACATTGTTAGAAATTGACAATGAAAAGAAGTATCCATGCTCAGAAGGAGCTTACAGTTCAGCAAAGAAACAGAATACGGAACTAGTAACATAGGTTGAGTCAGATTTTGAAAGCTAATGAAGAGCCCTTAGAGGCTTAATAAGACAGGTAATATTAATGAAGGGGTGGTGAGGAAGACAGCTGGCTAGAATAGGTAGACTCAAGAAAGGAGAGATAAATGAAGAATTTCCTCCCTGACTATAAAGAACAGCTGGAGAGGGAGGTGGAGCTATTAGAAGTTGGACTCTGTCTCAAACCAAAAACAACAACAATAACAAAACAAAACAAAACAGGAATTTTGAAACTTAGAACCTGGAGTCAGTGTTGCAGGCAAGAAATCGCTTGCAGTCAGACCTCCCAGAATTTGGGAGGTGGAGACTCAAGAGGTTAAGATCCTCCTAGGATACATACTGAGTTCAGAGCCGGCCTGGGCAACATGAGACCTTGTCTCAAAAAAAAAAATCACTTGTTCAGAAAATTCAGTGTTTAAGGCCAAACAGCAGAAGCTGATCAGATGGAAATTAATTCATCCCTTCTAGTTTGTAAGACTGAGGTATCTCCAAGATTTTGTTTTGTTTCATTTTGTTTGAGACAAGGTCTCACTGTGTAGCCCTGGCTGTCCTGGAAATTGCTGTATAAGCCAGGTTGGCCTCTGCCTCCCTAGTGCTGGGATTAAACATGGGCCATGATGCCTGTCCTCCCCAAAAATTTTCTAAGACTCCTTTAGGGTGTTGTTAGCAGAGAAAGCCCAAACAGAAGAATAGAGCAAACATTACTCATTACCATTCAATGGATAAAGTTAGGTTACTGGGGCTGGAGAGATGACTGAGTGGTTAAGAGCACTGGCTGCTCTTACAGGCCCTACGTTCAGTTCCTAGTACCCACATGGCAGCTAACAACTGTCTGTAACTCCAATTCCAAGGGATCTGATGCCCTCTTCTGGTCTCCATGGGCATTGCAGACACATGGTGTGTTTACATACAGACAAAATATTAACACACATAAAATATAAATAAATAATAATTTTTAAGACTCTCAGTGACTTAAAATGACCAAGTGTTATTGTTTGCTCACATTTAGTCCAGTGTGGAGAATAGGGGTAAGAGGATTGTTTGTCTCCATGAAGTCATTCCAGATTCTGTAGCTTCTTAGAACCTTTCATTTCTCCACTGCATCCTTTGTATCTGACCACAGAAAAAGGAAAGAGAGAATGTAGATTCTTCTGTGGGAAAATTTTTATAGGCCAGACCTGGATGCAACAAACAAATCTATTCTGTACACACTCATTGGTGGGAACTTTGGGACATGAATGCATCTAACTGCAAAGACGGGCTAGGAGATAAAATCTTGCTATATGCTCAGATGGAAAAGATACGTGATTGAGCCAGGCATGATAGTGCACACCTTTAATCCCAACGCCCAGGAGGCAGAGGCAGAGGCAGGAGGATCTCTGTGAGTTCAAGGCCAGCTTGGTCTACATAGCAAGTTCTAGGCCAGCTGGGGCGACCCTGTCTCAAAAAGAACCCCCCCCCGCAAAAGATACATGATTGTAGGGGTGAAAAGGTAACCTCTTAACCAAAATCTCCTTCCTATTAACAGAATCCCAGAATTGTTCAGGTAGAAGAAAGATCCCTTGAATTCAAGGAAGACAAGTTCCTTCATCCAACTCAAAGAATAAATCACAATTAGTTCAAACCAATTCCAATAACTATTTTTCTTTGGCACTGATAGGCATGGGGATGGGTATATGATTCAGTTCTGGCCAGTAAAATTTGCAGATACAGCTCCTGAGAGGCTTCTGGGGAAAAATCTTTTTCCCATAAAGATAGCACTGGCCAAACCTGGTAGCATATGCCTGTAATCCCAGCACTCAGAAGACAGAAGAAGGAAAATCATCACAGGTTTGAAGCCAGCTTGGTCTACAAAGTGAAAATCGAGCTAGCCTGGGTGAAAACGTGTCAGAAAAATAAAATCATGGGGGTGGAGAGATGGCTCAGTGGTTAAGAGTACTTGCTGCTCTTCCGGAGGAACCAAGTTTGGTCCCCAGCACCCATGTTAGGTGGCTCATCGCCACCTATAATTCCAGCTCCAGGGGATTCAAAGCCCTCTTCTGACCTGCTCCAACAGTGCACTCATATGCACAAACCCACACACATACACACACATATACACATAATTAAAACAAAAATAAAGGGGCTGGAGAAATGGCTCAGTGGTTAAGAGCACTGGCTGCCCTTGCAGAGGACCTGGGTTCAGTTCCCAGCATCCACATGGTGGCTAACAACCATCCATAACTCTAGTTCCAGAGGATCCAACTCTGTCTTCTGACCTCTGTGGGCACTGCAGAACATGGGTATGCTTTTTCTTTTTTCTTTTTTTTCCTTTTTATCTCCACAGCAAAAATTTTTAATTGAATTTTTGTGTATTTAATACAGAACAGCTCAAACAATCTTTTCTTTTGTTGGTCTTTTTGAGACAAGGTCTCCCTGTAGCTGCAGCTAGCCTGGATTCGCTATGGAGACCAGGCTGGCCTCGAACTCACAGAGATCTGCCTGCCTCTGCCTCCTGAGTGCTGGGATTAAAGATGTGTGCTACCACACCTGGCTAGCTCAAACAGCCTTAATCATCTTTATACCCCCATCCCCACTGACACCCTCCCATAGCCCCCCCACCATCCCTGTTAAGGCCCACTGGATGGTCAGTGCCCTCAAGCGTTCTGTCCACTAAGTCTAGTCAGCCTATCTAGAGTCCCTTGTGTTAGGAAGATCAGTTCTTCTTCATCTAGCAGAAATCAGTTGCCAACATTCCTTCAGATAAGGTTGAGGTCTGCCCATTTTCCCAGTTCTCTGCTGTGCAAGTCCATCCACTGAGGTCTAGTCAGTCTATCTGGAGTCTCTTGTTTTAGGAAGATTAACTCTTCTTCAC